GATAGATAGATAGATAGATAGATAGATAGATAGATAGATAGATAGATTTAAGTTAAGACTACCCCAGGATAATATATGAACTCTAAATTGCACATGCAGTGAAAGAGGGAATTCAGCTGTCTGGAAAGAAATTAAAAAAAAGAAAGAAGTAGAAGCAATGATGAATTACCTGGTAATGAACTCTCTGTGACCCAGAAGAAACTGAGTGCAAGTCCTAATGAAAAACGAGGAGAAAAAAATGCAAACCTTACAGTTAGCTTGAAAAGCTATTCCACATTCCCACCAAATGAACTCCCACTTTAATGTCACCATGTTCAATCTTAAAGTGTCTTAGCTCATCAAGGTTGGCCAATGATGTTTGTGCCTGAAACAATAAAAGCCTACTAACTTAGACTGAGAGAAGTTGGATCTTTTGTGTTCCACAACTTAGGTTAGTGATGTCGAACTGGTGATTTCTGTTATAAATTAATGGAAATCTGATTTCATTTGTATCTAAACTCTCTGGCTTATAGAGAAATCTTCTTGAGCAAACTTAAATGACTTGGACTTCTCTTATACTAAATAAATATTACCATATACATATGAGATGCTTGGAAAACATGCTTTCATAAGCCCCAATTGGGGGAAAGTAACCACTGAACATGACCATGTCATCACGAAGTGCAAGCTGACAGGAGTGAAGGGAAATGGGCTTATGCCAGCAGATTCTGAAGCCAGGCACCCTTTATAAAGTTTGCTAACTAAGTCATCACCACTGTCACAGGCCTAGGGTTCCTTGCTAAGGAAGGTGCTATGCTCTGTCCAGACTGACATCCGCAGTTGTGGGTGCCCTGGTCCTTACACCTGCTTCCCACAGGGTTTGTCTCCAGCTGTGTGCCCAGTCACTTCAAAACGTCTCTTTACTTACTGATTCCGGTTTTCTTTTTTTCTCCTTATAAATTTATTTTTGGTTGAATGCTAGTGTGATAAACATAATAGGCTAGGGTCAGATGGAAAGGGAGGAGGTCCTCCTCTATCAGTGGACTGGGGCAGGGGAATGAGAGGAGATGAGGGAGGGATTGGCAGTGGATGAGGGTGGGGCTACAGCTGGGATACAAAGTGAATAAATTGTAATAAACAAAATTATATTAAAATACTGTATTTTCAAAAAAATAAGTTGGTTAAGTTCACTCGCAATAAAGTCAACTAATTACCATGGGTTTTTGCCATTGTGGAGTACTGCTAAGTCACTTGAGTATTAAAATATTTTTTTAATAAAAGATATGGTATCAGTTAGGAGTCACTTTTAAACAAGATTTTATTTGTATTTATGTGTATGTGTGTGTGTGTACGTGTGTCTGTGTTTGTGTATGTGTGTGTGTATACCTATGGAAACTAAAGAAGCTCTCAGATCTCTTGGAACTGGAGTTTATAGGTGTTTGTGAGTATATAACAATGGATGCTGGGAATTGAACACTAGGCCTCCAGAAGAGCAGCAAAAGTTCTTAAATGCTGAGTCATCTCCCCAGTCCATAAATCACTTTTTAAATTACAGGCTGAATGTATGACATTCCACAGTAAAATTCAGTATTATTTTGAAAAATGGGATGATATGGTTTCTTTAAACTTAAGTTAGGACTCAAGATGCCTACTAAAATGTTCACAGGTGTTCTATTCTTTAAGTAGTCACCCATACCAAAAATAGCTGAACAAAGCATCAACAATAAAATTTACTGGCTTTCTCATTCATGTTACTATTCAAATTATGGCATTTATCCATAAATACCTTTTGATTTATCATTACATCTCTCTCCTTACTAATTATAAGGATAAAATTAATTTTCAGAATCATCAATATGTGTTTCCTACCCAAATACATTTCTAGTGAAATACAATGTAATGTTCAAAGATAAGTGGCTCCAAGTTAGCAGGATTTAAGAACTATACATCAGCTTTATTTACAATTTATTTATGTTTATTTGTGTATTATGCATTGGGTAGAACAGAATTATCCCTCTAGGAGAATCCTTCAAATCACCCGCTGGTTTTATAATACAAATATTTCAATCAGCACCACTTGAAGAAAGTGACTGTAGTGGGAGTGGGTGTCTTTCATCCAAACGCAATGATGGCGAGAGCTCTTTATTTCCACCACTCCTGGGATGGAGATAGTTGCCTGCCCCAACCTACCATACCTATATAGACACAATTGTGCCAACAGTGATTGTAATGAGTTTGCTGACTCAGGTCAAACTCATGAGATGGTCATATACGAGATCACTTCCTTCCTGTTTCTCAGTGGAAGACCAGAATAAAGAACAATGTACAGGTCAAAAAATTACACATTCCATTCTGATATATTTATATTAATAAGAAGCTTCTCTTTCCTGTGGAGAAAGTTTCAATTTTAAAAAAATGAAGCCTTCTTGCTGGATTTCTGTGCTAGACACAAAACATCAAGTAGCCTCAAATCTCTAAGATCTTTCATTATTTAGTAGTTCTTTAGAAATTCTGAATAGCTTAAAATATACATCTATGTAGCCTGGGAGGAAGGCAGATTTCCAAGCTATGGAATAGCCAAGGAATACACCAGGACACCAGGACCTATAGTTAACCCTCTTTCCAGCAGCCAGCAGAGGGAACCAACAGCAGAATTGGGAGGGAGTATGCTGAAAAAACCAGGCCACATTGCCATTTCCTGATCTCATGTGTCATTGTAGACACACACTCTCTATCTATCTATCTATCTATCTATCTATCTATCTATCTATCTATCT